ATTGGGATTATCTCGCCATAAAATATTTTGAAAATGAACCTGAGAGGGATTGATTTTCACTTGTCGATACATTTTCTTAATATCGCACGTAAATACGTATCGAAACATTCAAAATCTGCTGAGAATATCGAATAAATCAGGTTGGACAGTAGAGCCTTTCAACATGATATCATTTAGAGAGAGGTTAGAAGATGTTTCCATCGAGGCATCAAATACGACTCTGAGATTAGTTGTCTCATCTCCTTCTTTTATGACACAATGATGAGGCAAAAAACATTTTTGTGGTGAATTACCATCGGACAATTGGTTTAGCGGTACATATTTACCGTGATTTAAATTGACATATTTATCGATAAATGATTTATATCTTAGAAATCGATCTTGATCTCTTAGAAATCGTTTTTCCAAAGAGGGGAAACGCTGTTTAACGAATTTGAATGAATCACCTAGCTGGGAGGGGGCATTTTCGCTACGAAAGGATAAATTTACTTGAAATGTACCGTCAGACAATTGTTGTGTTGTTTGACTAAATATGGACTCACATTGTTTATCTTCTGGAGATAAGAACGTTTTCTGCGGGTATTCCTCTAATTTCCAAAATTTAGGAAGTAATTCATTAAGATCAGGTGTCGAGGTGAATAGAGCTGTGCTCAACAGTGATTGAACAGAAAGGTTTTGCATTGGAGTCGGTCCGCCGACAACGCATCCCAGACGTGTGTTTTGGAGTGTTGGCTGATTTTTTCCAAGGTTTATAATTCCAGGAGCCATTAAATCGTAGTATAGATCTGCACCTATAAGTATGTCAATTTGAGAAGGGCAGTGAAATTGATCATCTGCTAGAGATAAATTTGGTGGTATGTTTATTCGACTTAAATCAACTTGGACGTGAGGGAAAACCGATGTGATTTTGTCTAAAATAGCACAAGTTGCTAAAACAGAAAAATCGTCCTTTGAAGAGCAAATTTTTAAGCTTACTGCTTTGGTAATTTGACTTGTTTTGTTTCCTATTCCAGTGACAGACATGTCAAATTTAAAAGATGGTGTGCCTAATTTTTTGAATGCTTCATTCGTTATGAATGTGGTTTGAGAAGCTGAGTCTAAAAGAGCACGAGCTTTAATTTTACATCTAGTTTTAGACAGAAGGATGACCTTAGAAGTTGCTAAAAGAACTTGAGTGTTGTTGAGAGACGAGCATGAAATGTTACTTGGAGAAGGATTTTCATTTGAAGTGTTTGCCGAAACCAGAGTTGTATGTTCATTCTGGGTATCAGTCTCTTGAATGACTTGAGCGTTTGGGCAGAGTTGCTCATTGATAGCGGGAGAAGATGACAGCATCTTACCTTGAGGGTCATGTAGCAAGGTGTGATGTTTTTCTGCGCAAACTGAACAACATCGAGTGGAAATACAGCTCGAAGCAATGTGTTTGTTGCCTAGGCAATTTAAACACAACTTGTTTTGCATCACGAATTGTTTTCTTTGAGCTGGAGTGTGTTTAATGAACTTCATACATTTGTAAATAGTATGATTCTTCATTTTGCAATAAAAACATTCAAAATTGAAATTGGTATTTTGAGGACTTTCACTTGAAACATGCGCAAATCTTTGCGGTTTTGATTTGCTGTCTACATTTGTATAACCAGTCAAAGTTTCTAAAGATGAACACCGTTTTTCTAAAAATTCTAAAAATTCATTTAATGTGGGAAGGTGTTCCGAATCTCTTTCGAGTTCAAATAGCTGTCGCGTGCTAAAATCTAAATGTTTGGAGTACATGAAAATTAAAAGCAAATCCCAATTTGAAGTCGATACACTTAAAGCTTGTAATGCTTTTAAATGTTTATTGATTTGAGTGATAAATTTTCTTAAAGTAAAACTGTTATTTTTAGAAATACTCCAGATATATGAATAAAACCTACTGCTAACAATACAGATTTAATAAAACTTCAGAATTCATATTTAAAGATACATTTAATGATTAATTATCTACCTTGATTGAAAATACCAAATAACAAAAATAACCAAGGATTACAAAAGTGTCGACATATACAGGGTGTTCTATTTACAATAGCAAATTTTGTCGGAGGGGACACTTTTGGGACACCATGTATCAACAAAATGATAATATTTTAAATCTTCAAGAGAATCCTACACACTTTTGTAAGAAACTTTTTTTCGTATCTCCTATGGGTTTCCGGATCGTATAGTGGATTGGTTTATTTGGCACACGATGTGCATTTTTAAAACTAATGATGTAAATATACCGAAAACATGGAATCGGTCCTCAAACCCGTGACTAAAATGCCGGAAACGTCCAAAGTCGATCTGGAATGTGAATAACGAATCTTACGAATTTTAAAATTGGGAATAGAAAAAACATATTTTTTTAATTCTCCAGCACCGAAAGAACAACGACCCTCTAAAACCTTTAAAATTCCGACCGAGGGCGGGGATCCATATTAGGCACCGCTAAATTTTTACCTTTTAGTTTCTCGATTTTACAAAAGGACGCGGAGCGGAAATCCCGCGGGAAACGACGCATTAACGGTCTTCCCGTAAATCTTCGCCGCGTTTATCTGGGAAAGGTGAGTCCGCAGAACCTCGCTCCCGGGACATTTTAAGGGAGGACCCCGGTGGGGGGAAGTAATACGTTCCCGACAATTATTTATCGTTTCCTACACTCCTCTTACCGGCAACTTGGACGTTAATATTCTTCTTCGGTAGCAAGCCACTGGTTTGTTTTCCTATTTCCGCATGTAGAAAACATTTAAAATTGACGTACGGCTAATAACGATTTTAATGGATGCCCCGTTGGCAACGAGTGGACGTGATAAATCGCCATAAAGGCGTGTCCTATGAATATATCTGCGGCTCCGATAATATAAATCACACGCCACTGTCCAACCCATCTTCTTATATGAAAAAAAAACTCTACATCCGAAATTTTAGTAGCCTCTTGGAGGGTAGGAGTAGGGCCACCTCCCGCCCTTCATAACAGCCGCGTTCATATTCCGCCACCGTAGAGATTTATCGCGCCGCCATTACGGTGCGGCATATTCCGGACCACGAGCAATTTCACATTCATTGTAACCGCCGCCGCCGCCGCCGGTACATCCCAGAAAATTTCATAATGCCCCGTCCCCCCCGAAAAATGAATATATGAAACGGCAACAGTCGTTTCGGGGACGATCTCTGGTCCTTAAAGTAATAATTTAAATATTTAAGAAGTCGCAGGCATCCTTATTGCAAAAAAAAAGTTATTACGAGAATTTAGCCCACAATTGTAAATATTTTGCTTGATTTTTGGGGTTAGTTTTGATGTTGTCAGCTGATGGATTGACAAATTTTTCTATTTTAACAATATGCCCCGTTGGCGCTAAGGTACAGTGTATCGAATTTTAGTTGTAAATATAAAGAATATCTGTATTAGTAAAGTTAGGGCGATGCAGTTTTCGCAAGACCGCGCTACATTTTCGAGAAACTTGCCGTAAACAAAATTGTCCTACTTCACTGCATTAATAAAACTGAGAATGATACGTCTTGGGATCTCTTCATATCTTATTTATCTTTCAATTAATAGAAAAGGAAAAAAATGTTTGGGTAGAATTCAATGTCGTTTCCGGTGAAGATGATATAGAACTTTACCTAATTTTTTAAATTTAGTTTGTACGAAGCGAAAGGCCACAAAAAATAGATAAACATCAGATATAGAGAGTGATTCATAGAAAATGGCCAATCCATAAACTGGAGGTCCCAGAGGTTAAATATCATGAAATTTTTCTTATTAACATTGCCAAAATTCTTATTGTTAAATATTGGTTTTTATTGCTCTCCGCATCTATTCATTTTTTAAATATTTATAAAAAAAACGAAAACACACCTTGAACTTTTTAAATGCAAATAAGTGAAAAACCGACAAAGACGGTCTTTCTGTGAAAAAATTAAAATTCTTCGACATTTCCATCATGTTTCAACCAGAACTCGACGGATGAAAAAAATGATTCGCTTTTTTTTTCGAAGAAATTTCCACAGATTACTTGTAATAATATTTACAAATCCTCTGGATTCCTCTTACGTTTATTGTTGATAAATCGAGCTTGCCTGTTGTCATCAATCATCCTGCTGGCTGTTTTTTTGGAGCGGTTCCAGTTAAGCTCCGAAGATTCTGCTCTGAAGAAACCAGCAGTAGTTCAGAAGATTTGTAAATATTTTAAACATTTAAAACCCTGCAACTCTTCTTCATAAATCACCCTGTATATCTAATAATTCTATTCCCGATGTCCCTTGCATATATATATATATATATATATATATATATATATATATATATATATATATATATATATATATATATATATATATATATATATATATATATATATATATATATATATATGCAATGACTTCAAAATAAACGGAATTTCAAGTGTGGGAAAAATGTATAGGGGAATTTCAAATTGAAGCATATTTTTAAAAAGTCGAGGTTTTCCCATTTGAAAAATGCAGTAGTATGGGACACTTCTTGACGTGACCCATACGAGGTTGAGTCTCAAAATGTATAATTTTCGGTATTTCAGTCACTCGTTTATTAAGGCACTAGCTCCCCGTGACTAGATGGGGTTTGTCAAATTTGTTTAATTTTATTAATTATCAAGTATAACATACTATTACTGCATAGTAAGTTTCAGAAATAAGCAACGGAGAAACCCGGATCGGAATTGGTCTGTACAATCAATGCGGGTCCAAATACTCAATGCAAAAGCGGAGAAGTCAATTAAAACCAACCGCATAATTAATATAAAATTGATTGTTTTTAAACACACAATTTTCACAAACGATCATTAAAATACATTTAAGTTTCTTTTTATTGATCATATTGGATACTTCCTCGTATCCATCCATCCACCTTTCTGACAGATGTCTTTCAAATTTGCATAATTTTAACACACTATTTCAACAAAAATAAGGATTATACTTTACCTGGAAGAATAAATTCTATGGCTCTAATTTAGGTTGCGATAACGGGCTTACCTGAAAAGAAACAAACATTCTTAAAGAAAATAAAACGAATAATGTTGAAATTGACACACACTGTTCATATTTCATTGACACTGAAATGCCTTGTGGTTTAATAAAATTACTAACGAGGTTGGAAGCAAAATCTACGGAATCTAGAATCACTAGAAATAGCGCATTTTCAATTTTAAAAAATTCTACCTCACTTTCTAATGACAGGCGATAACTAGTTTGGGATTTTGAATCGCACTTTAAGTTGTTAAACACATCATCATTTGATTTAATTAGCTTTCAAACATAAAAAGTGATTTTTAATCTGCAATTACAAACAGTTCATACGGTTCAAGCAGTCATACAATACCACATAACTAATGGCACTAATAAAAAAAAACAGTTTTTTCTACTCCCCACTCCAAAATACTGAAACGAGTGGAGAGTGTCACGGTGGAGAGCAACTTCGGATGTTTCTGGTAGTCACAGGTTTAGGAGCGATCGGGTGTTTTCGGTAGAGTTTTGCCATGGTATTTTGACATTTGTCACTTTTAACAGTCCCGTAACACGTCAGTTCAAGATACTCCGACTATTTGGAAAAAAAGACAAAATAAAAAGGAAAAATATGCAGCGTGTTCATAAACTTCTCTCGTTTATTAGGCACTCGCGGCCAAATGAAACTCGTGACTACTGGCGTTTCTCGAACTTGTATAAAAATTGAATGCTCAACAGGTCAGGTGAGGACTCTCGTCTACTACAAGTCCACCGGATATATAACCATCTTTCAAAACACGTAAACAAATAATAACGCAAGACAACAAATTATAATGAAATTCCGACTTCGTCAACGACCAATCGAAAGTTATGACGTAATGTTTGCAGGATCGCTACTTTGCTTTGACGCAGTCTATCATTAGCAGATTAATCAGGTAACCAGAATAGATCGGGCTTATCTAAAATTCCTGGAATGCCGGGGAACTCATCTTGTTTCAACTTTCCAGATTCCATATCATTAAAATTGCCCAAACGGCGGGGGAGGTAGCCCTATTGATCCGGCCCGTTATCTCTTTGGAAACTTTCGCCGAAGAAACTTCGGCAGACTCGGAGGGGGCGCTCTATACGGCAAAGAAAACGACGAAAGATTAGATCCGCCACAATTAAAAAAGTGTTTCCGTATACTCCTTTTCGGGAATTAACGACGTTGCCAACTTTTCGTGCGGTTTTTTGTGTCTCCCATTGGCGGAGATTTCTCTCGTGGTGAGAGAGGCGGGGGTGGCACCCTTACGGAGGAAAAACTTTCCGAGCGTTCGCGATCCTTCCAATTAGGAAGTTTCGTCGCGTGTTTGTATTTCTTACATTGAGAATTTGCCGAACCCGCGTGCCTAAAAGTTCGGCGAACGCGGCGAAATATTCAAAATGAGCGAATAAAATTTTGGAAAAATTCAATGCTACCTCAAAAAGCGCCACCGAATAAGATAGTGATTTTAGTCATAACACACCAAGTAACTAAATATTTGTTGGGCGGAAAAAAACTTGCCTTACAAATTGTTCGTTAATTTTTTAATTTAAAATCTCATTATTGTGATGATTGATTTGTTGGCTTTTGGTTCACTTCGATATGCATTTTCCAATATGAAATGATTTTTTCAAAGAAACATTAAATTTTCCATTTAGATTCCATTGCAGAAAGACTAAGTCGACGATGGATATTCTGGTCGTGTTTGATACAAGAAATGAGATCAAGATCTCAAAAAAACCCACTTGTTTGGGACAGTTCTTGGTGGAAATTCATTAATCCAAAAAAAAAAACAATAAAAAAAACATTCAAAACAATGGACTTGCAGAAATATCTGATTTACTATTGAAAATTTAGATAACTAATTGAGTGCGCATAAAAAAAACAATAGCACACAAATATAAAAAACAATTCGAAAAATTAGCTTTTGTACTTCAAATCGTACATATTTTTGAACTTTTTTACTATATACTTCGAAAGATTTATCGATTTTAATGGAATCATGCAATTTTTTGTTGAACACAGAGGTTCAAGTCTGCAGTTTTTGTTGCTACGTCAAGGGTGCCTCAAGGGTCGAATTTAGGAACGATTTATGAAATAGGTGAAACATCCTTATTTGTTGTTTGCGAGTGACCTAAAATATCTTTCTGGATAGCTAAACAAAATGCTTGCAACATTTATAAGGAGTATATACGAATAGTCACCTATAATATGGTTACAAAGTATACAAAATATGCTCAAATATTTCATGTTAGTTGTATTGACATTCTTAATGATTATACTGTTCGTCTCTAATACATAGAATCCTCTTTTGTAATTTGATGCTATAATTCCCGCAGTACAGTTATTGAATTTTTAACACCAAATTACCAATATATCAAATGCACCTCAATTTATCAAATGGATCTAGACTCTAGTCAAATTGCTGACTGGTGTGGGGTTCAACTTTGGTTCCTTCTGGGCTATATTTTTTAAATATAAAAAGATTATAAAAAATAACTAATTGATTTTCCCCGTTCATTCGTTATTTGTTCTTTATTATTATTATAAGATTACCATAAGATGAAATTATTATTATTAACGTTATGCTCAAATTTCGATGACGTTTTTATTTTGTTACCGATCTTAGTAATCATTCTTATTTCCTGTGTAATACAGCGTCTGTAGAAAATGTAGAAAACACTATTCTATTGACATTAAGGAAGTTATAAACAATGTTTATTTGACTCTCATTGAACGTGGTGCCAGCAAGCAAGCATGTTAAGAAGAAACGACCACATTGACGAAAATTCCAACATCAACTGTATGGAAAATTGTAAATAATCCCATGTTGACATTTTCTCGAGTGTAGATGAAAGTGATCTAAATATAATACGGCGTAAAATGTTACAGTTATACGAGCCAATATTAGATATCTTTATTAGGAGGCTTGAAAAAGATGAATTCGGTGTTAAATGTAGCAGAACTACCTTATGGAAGTGTATGCAACACATGGGTTTTAGATGTTAAAAAATTGACAAAAGGCAAGTTTTAATGGAATCTTTTAGAATTCGGAAATGGCGACTGGAATATCTAGAAAAAAATAGGATTTACAGAGAACAACAACGGCCAGTTATTTACTTGGATGAAACCTGGATTGACACATATGATACCCCGGAAAAGGGTTGGGTTAACTCAACTGATAAGTGTAAAAAAAATTTACATGCTGCTCTAAATATGGTTGAATTCCAAATGGACTTTCTCTGTCTGCGAAAAATATTAAAGATTCTTCTCTGGATTACCATGAAGACACCACCGCTGATTTATTGGAAAGTTGGTTTAAAAACAAACATTCCTCCTAATAGTGTAATTGTAATGGACAATGCAAGTTATCACAGTAGACACTTGACTAAAACAACAATCCAAAACTACATGTATAATAATGACATTTATTTTCACGAAGATTATACCAAAAAGAAATTAATTGAGGTTCTACAAAGCTTGAACCTACAAAAGGAATACGTCTGTCATAATTATCCAAAAAATCTAGGGCATACAGATTTACCTTACCACTGTATATATAATCCCATTGAAGATGTTTGGCACCAACTGAAATCTGCCATTCGTCGTAACAATGTTAACCCGTGTTAACTCCAATGTCCTCAAACTTATAGAAACCGAAATTTTTAAAATCCCTACCCAAAGTTGGGCGAATTCTGTTAAACATATAAAAAAAGCAGAACAATCGTATATCCATATTGCAAATAATATAGAACAAATAATAATTAGAACAGGCGATGATAGCGATAGTGATACTGATATATTATGTGAATAATTTTAAGTAATTTAAGTAGGTAATAAAAATAATGTGTAATTTTATTTTAAGTTTAAACATAAATACATAAATATTGTTTAGTATCTTTCCTAACAAAACCCCAAGTAATTAAATTCTAAGCAAAATACGGACCTGTTTGGCCATATATCATTCTTACAGCTTGCCCGGGTCGTTCCTTAATTCGTATCAGTTAGTCACTTTCTTAGATCTATGAACAGACTTTACCCAGCTTTTAAGCAGGCCGTCAACGTAAATTTCAGCGAACGAGAAGTAACACCCAGGGTTAAGCCTTATAGCGACGCGTATCGTCTATAGCTACCCAGTATGAACACATGATCCGTTATTACCTCGTTCTGCGGTTCATATTTGAACCGTTCGGAGTCTAGACCAGGTTGTTGCAAGCTCATATTGTATATTAATACGTTCCTATTAACTGAGCGATAGAGTTAATGAGCTTTCGATTGAGCTATACGCTTCGTTCGATGGTTTTTATAATTGAAATCGATATAGGCCCGCCGTATACGAAACCACCCGCGTGAAATATGCAAAATACGCTTGCGGAAATGAAAACTGGAAACGTATCAGGTGACTGAGGGCGAACACATTCATGTATTTTCGAATTTAATGCCTACGATTTAATTCAGTATTGTGGGCCCCATTTAGAGACTAACGCTAGATGAATACTCCAACAATACGCAGAATAACTAGATAATGTACACAACTTTAATCTCGAACAATAACATAAGCACCGGATATATTAAGAGAATGGCCAGCTCTAGCCTGCAGCTACTCCCAAGGGGATAAAAATATTTTAATCATAAAAAACTAAGAAAAAAAGCTACCAATAGGAAAAGTACAAAAATGTAAATTGCAGAAAAAACATTTGGGAAAAATATCAAAGGATAATATTTTATGAAACAGAAAGCAGAATACATGGAATTAAAGAAATATAAAAGAAAAAAGATACAAAGAAAAAACCCTTTAACTTTATTTCCTTATACGCCAGGCGCCAGGCGGCTGGCAACCCATTAAACCTAGAAGAAAAAGCCATTCGTTTCTTTGTTTATATCCGATTTTTGTGCAAAGGGTTAGTTAGTCTCCTATCCATTATAGTAAAATCGCGTTCTTACATTACGTTAAGTATTATCCAAATAATTTTTTAATTTGTAGTTGCTTTAGTTGTCTAATTGCAAG